CACTGCCCTAGCCACCTGCCCCACGGCGCGGCTCTGGAGCAAGGCCTCACCGGCCGCTCTCCGCCCCACAGGGATCCTGCCCGTTTGCCACTCCCTCTTCGCCCTGGCAACCGAAGATCTGAAATGCTGGTTCCCACCCAACCACCTCCGCGGCTCTGGAGCAAGGCCTCACCGGCCGCTCTCCGCCCCACAGGGATCCTGCCCGTTTGCCACTCCCTCTTCGCCCTGGCAACCGAAGATCTGAAATGCTGGTTCCCACCCAACCACCTCTTCACCGTGGACAACTCGAGCTGCCAAACCGTCGTCTACAGAATCAGGTGCTTGCGGGCTTCCAGTCCCCCAATGCTGGGTGCCCACCGCTCGGGGGATCCCCCAACCCTCACCAGCCCCTCTCCACCCCCACTGGGATCCTGGTATCTTGCTTCTGCCAGGCAGGTGCAAGAAACCCTCCAGGAAACACTCCTGGGACAACCTGCCCTGTTGGAAAGTTTTCCAGTGGTCCATAGAGACTCCTGGGGAATGATATAAGAGCCTCTGGAGAATACAAGCCTATGCCATGCCCATCATCTGAGCACCTCCGGTCCCACGGGACTGGTGTGTCCCACATGTGGTTCATTTTCCCTCTGGGTGGGGGTTTGGGGCTCACCCTCCCGCATTCTTGCTGCTCTGCCTCCTTGCTGTTCTACCTGAACGTGGCTGCCCCCTGATAAAGTCCCCCCCCGGGGAGCTGGTGAACCCAGGAGCAGATGCAACCCTGCGAGATGGGCAGCTGTCACCCTGCCCAACACAGAGACGAGAGGGTCTCGTTTTCCTCGGCAGGTTTTTCTTCCCCAGCTGGCTGGGGCCGGGGAAGTCGTACCGCTTCGGGATGCTGAACGACCGGTCCACCGCAGTGCTGGACTGCCCCACCATCGACTACCTCTTCGCTCAGGTGAGCGGTGCCCGAGGGTGCTGTAAGCACCAGCGGGGAGATTCGGCCGGAGGCTCAGGCCCTTTCACAGATCCAGAGAGACCACGTCCGGCTTTTGAACCCCCTCACCAGAATAAAACCAAAAACCGGCGACCCCACTCCAGCAGCAGCCGCTAATCGGCGAGGACACGTTCCCCGCGGTCTAAACTTTGTTAAAACTGTACGAACAGTTTTAACAGGACGAACGCTGTCTCCGTTAACAAAACAAAAAAATGATCTTTTACCCAATCCCTGCTCTTCTATGATTCAATTTCCCGCTCCGAGCTTATGTCTATGCTGCAGTTTTCCTTGCAAAACGACCGTTTTCCCAGAAAAACAATACTTACATCCACACTGCTATTGCGGGATTTCGAAAGAAAGTCGAAAGAATGGAGGGGGGTTTTCTGAGGGCAGTAAACCTCATTCTACGAGGAAGATGCCTTTTTCCGAAAAAGGCACGTGTGGACGGGAAGGAGAGTGGTTTTTTTGAAAGAAGAGGCCTCCAGGAAAAAACACAGGTGCTCTGGTGGCCACTTTCTGACCACAGTAATCAGAGCTGAAATGTGAGAGAGCGTCCAATCAATGCAGACGCTCTCTTTCGAGACAGCAGATTGCTTTTTCATCGCGCTTTGGCCGTGTGGACGCTCTTTGGAAAGAAGTTTTCCCGGCCGATCTCTTCCGGAAAAGCTTCTTCCGAAAGAAGCCTGCAGAACAGACGTAGCCGGAGCTCATGCTCACAGGTTCGCCCCCGAGGGAGTCGTATCAAGCCACGTGGCGAAACGTATCAAATGCCACAAACTGAGCCGGGGTCTAAATTCGAGGCCCCCTTCGAGTTGGAGGCCCAGGCTAACGGGGCCTCCTGGCCCGTCCTCTGATACGTCAGTTTCACCACCCCCATTGGGCAGCTGAGGAAAGGATGCGCAGAGAGATAAGGCAGCTGCCCGGGGCAGGAACCGGGTCTCCAGACGGAGTTCTGAGTGAGCTGTAACTAGCGAGGAAATCCCCATGCGGTGAGCCAGGATCCACCCATGGCTGTAAAGCTGTGGGGACGCTGCCAGAGGTGCCCCCCAAAATAAAGCATCGCTCGGAGGGTTCAGGGGTCCCCCGCTCCCTCGGAAGGCAACTCACATCCCTGGTTCCACATTCCGGAGCGCCGATGGGGTGGCCGGGGGGTGACGCGGTTCCCCCTCCGACCGCGTGCGCTGAGCTGACCGTGCGTGGTGTTCTTGGGGGCCGGCTCCCAGTCCCGCAGCGATTTCATCAGCGGGCGCATGGAGGTGGCGCTGAGCCTGCAGGAACAGGAGGAGTGTCTCAGCCTGGCCGTGCTGGACATGCTCCGGATGGCCAAGGAGAGGAAGTGGAGCCCGGAGGAAATCTTCAGCTGCAGCAGGT